GAACTGCATACTGCTTTTTCAAATCACTTTCTCAGTTTATCAAGATGATTTTTTAAAAAAACCCCTTATGTTCCTGTCCTCTAACATAATTGTTGTCCTTCTCAGCTTAATGTAGCTTGCAAATGGAATAAACACAGTATTTATTCCTAGATTCCACAGGGAATCTGCCTTTACTCATTTCCTCCACTTTGCCAGTGAACAGTTAATAGCTGTGATGCATCTTTTTTCCAAGCAGTTATACATCTGCCATTAATAATCTTAAAATAATAGTTTCCTTAGCTAACATACAGCACTTGAGGTTGTATCCAAAGCCTTACAAAACTGAGAACAAAATCATTGCCTGCCCATGAGATCAGTCAGCTGTCCTAGAAGGAAGTCAAATTGGTCTGATTATCATCTGTCATCATTTATTTTCATTTGCTGATTAGATGGGCTGGTATCTTTATCCACTTTTTTTGTTCCCTATCCTTTGTAGTGACTGGAGTCAGCCTAATGGGCTATAATAGTTTTTCTCCTCTTTAAAGCCTGTAAAAGGATTTATCTACTGTCTGTGCTTTGGAGTCGCTTTTGTCCTCCATAAATAATTGTGCTGTAATAGCTGGGGGTTCTGAGGGGTGTTCAGCTCATTCTCTGCAAATTATGCTTTTTGTTCTTCCTCTCAAGGAGAGGAGCCCCCTGCTCCCCTGAGGTTTGTTCTGTGCTTGCAGATCGGCAGCCGCAGCAGCGTGTACTCCCCAGAGAGCAGTGTGAGGAAGACAGGCTCCTACATTTATGAGGAGTTCATGCCTACAGATGGCACGGATGTAAAGGTGAGGGAAAGCCTGGAACAGCTCCCTCCTTCTGCAGGCCTGGGACAGCTGAAGGCTGGGCAGTCCCACACTGCTCTGGAGTCTGTTTAAGCTGTGAGGTGCTGACTGTGCAGCTCAGGTCCCAGGGTGGGGAGCTGGTGTTGCGCAGGGTGAGAAGAGACCTCCTGGTCTCTGTGCCTGCAGCAGGCGGAGCTGCTGGGAGCTGGCTGGTGGTGGTGCCAGGGGTGCCCTTCTCTCCCAGGTGTACACCGTGGGGCCAGACTACGCCCACGCGGAGGCTCGCAAGTCGCCGGCGCTGGATGGGAAGGTGGAGCGGGACAGCGAGGGGAAGGAGATCCGCTACCCTGTCATGCTGACTGCCATGGAGAAGCTGGTTGCCCGGAAAGTCTGTGTAGCCTTTAAGGTCTGTGATTCCCTCCTGTGTGAGCAGGATGCTACACCAGTGTCTGACCCTTACCTTGGTCGGTGTTTGCCAGCTGAGCTGTCCCCCAGTGTCTCTGCTGTCCCAGAGGGCCTGGGAAGGCAGGAGAGCCTGCCGCAAATGCCCTCTGTGCTGGCAGGTCTCCAGTGTACACCTCAGCTTCTACTGACATCAAAATGTACTGCTGTCCAGCCAACCTGCCCTCCCCCTGCCTTTTTCCTTTCAGTTTTTGCTGGGGCTTTCGTGCACGTTTGTATTCTCTTTGGCAGGGGGGTGAGTGAGGGTGTGGGTCTCGGGGTGATCGCACATGTTCAGCAGTGTCAGCAGAAGCAGCAATTGGCTGCTCGTCCCTGCCCTGCTGCAGCTGTGCTGATCCACTTCTGGGCTTGCTCTGCCCTGTAGCCTTTTCCACTCAGTGATGGGTGTCTTTACCTGCACCACTTATTGTCTGGTCCTGTCTGGTTGGATTTAGAGGCAAGAGCAGGAGCTGCTCTGCCTTGAGCCATTAGAGCTTTGGCAGGCGCAGGAGGTCCTGTTGGCTTCATCCTTTGCTGGTGGGTTGGGCCTCTGGTGTAGCTGTGAGGGTGTGGAGGTTCCTCTCACAGGGCTGCTCCTGCTGCTGCTCCTACTGCTGCTCCTGCTGGACGTGTTTCCTCACGTCCTCCCGGCTCCTGGGGCCGGGGCAGCGCGGGGGCGGTCGCCGGGGGTCGGGGGCTCCTGCCTGCCTGGCAGCTCTGTCCCCACAGCTGTCCCCTGAGCCCTGTCCTCTGCTCCTCCACAGCAAACCGTGTGTGGGTTCGACCTCCTGCGGGCCAACGGACACTCCTTTGTCTGCGACGTGAACGGCTTCAGCTTTGTGAAGAACTCCATGAAATACTACGACGACTGTGCCAAAATCCTTGGGTACGTGCAGCTGGAGTTTTGGTCGTGGGTGAGGTAGCTCATAGCAAGGTAGAGTGAATGTGGTGTCCTGGGTGGTGTGTCGGGGGAGTCTGCAGGTGGTTCACATGGGGACATTTGTTCAGCATTTTTTTTTGGCTCTTGGGAGGAATGTTTTAATTATTTGTAGCCCCTGGAGCTCCTGCCTGCATTGGCATCAGCTGCCTGTGCCTACAGCTTGTGTATCTTACAGGACTTTTCACTGGATGCTAAGCCCAGCTGCAGGAGGGAGACTGGTGTCCCTCTGGGGTGCCCTAACTATCCCCCAGTGTGATAGATGTCTCTCTGGAGAAAGGAGGAGAAGTTCTGTGGCTCCACCCAGTTCTTTAAGCTGGACCACTAAGGAGGAGGTGAAAATCAAAGGAATTAAATTTCTTGTGAGTTTTGTATTCTGGTTTCTTCCAGAAATATAATAATGCGGGAATTGGCTCCCCAGTTCCATATTCCCTGGTCCATCCCAACAGAGGCAGAAGATATTCCCATTGTCCCCACAACTTCAGGCACCATGTGAGTATCTGCCATCTTCTCAAAATAATGCTGGTAAGGGCTACACGAGGGGCAATGTGCAGACCCCATCTGAGGGACAGACACCACCCAGCAGCATGGCCTTCTCCAGCTGCTGTGTTGGTTGCAACCCTGAAATGCCTGTGGAAAGGCTTTAGCCGTGGACACAGAACAGGTGGCAGATGGTTTGATGAAAGCAGACAAACAGTTCTTGAAGGAATTACAGACACTGCTCACGTGGCTCTCAGGAGGCCCAAATTCTGGATCAGCACAGTCAGCTGCTGCTGGAGACAGTGTGTGTGGAGCTGCCACTGGAGTGGGTGGAAAACAATCAGCTCAGTATTCATGTTACCTGTGCACTTGGCAGACCCTCATTTGGTGCTGTTTACCTTACTAGTCTCCCACCACATAAGGCTGCAGGGGGCCAATTGCTGTGGGATCTTTCTACCTCCAGCTCTTGCTGGAACAATGGGAAACTACTTTCTGGTGGAGTGTGGGGGGACATTTGTCATGTGCATCTTCTGTTTCCCCAGGATGGAGCTCCGCTGTGTGATTGCAGTCATCCGGCACGGGGACCGCACCCCCAAGCAGAAGATGAAGATGGAAGTCAAGCATCCCCGGTGAGACTGAAGGCAGGAAGGTGCTTTGCTCCTGGGAAGGGAGGAGGGCCCGTGTCCTGCTCCAGAGGAGGAGCAGAGGGGCTGAGTGCATGAGAGGCAGAGCTTTTCCCTGGTCCTTCAAGCAAATGCCTTCTGCCCAGTTGAGGGAGTGCCCTTTCCCCATAAGGATCCTGGCACCTTCTGGGTGAACACTGAATGAGAGAGTGGAGATCTGCTGGGTGCTGCAAAGGGAAGTGTCCCTCCAAGTGGGAAGTTAGTGGCTACTGTGTTGTCCTGTCTGTGGTTAGAAACGCTTGTTTTTCTTCAAAATTTCTGAAGCCCAGAAGGAGCTAGTGGGTTCTCCCTGCTGGTTCTCCCTGAAAAACAAAGCATGGATGCAGGTGCAGGTGTAGGGATGACAGTCCTTGGAGCACCAAAATAGCAGAAAATAATTCAGTGTTCTTTGTTCTCTGTTCAGATTCTTTGAATTATTTGAGAAATATGATGGCTACAAGACAGGGAAGTTGAAGCTGAAGAAACCAGAGCAGCTACAGGTGAGGGGAGTCCTCTCCAGGGTTACTGACTGGGAGATGCAGGTAATACAGATCCCAGCACAAGGTGATTCTTTGGGAAGGTGGAAGCCCTGAAAGGGAGCAGCCTGTCCCACCAGTGCTCCCTGTCTGGTTCCCCACTGAGCGCGCTCAGCAGGATGTCACCATGGGAGCAGAGTGGAAGCTGTTCCTGGCTCGTGTGAAGACTGTGAGATGGGGATGACTTGGTGCAGCTTGCCCATCTGTTTTGGTTGTCCCGGGTCAAAGATGGGTCCAGGCTAAGGAATGGGGCAGTTGGAGGCACCTGCTTGGTTCTGAACGGGGCTGGAGCACAGGATGGGGTGGCACAAAAGGCAGTCTGAAAGTTTGTCCTGCCTTAGTTGTCTGGTGTGTCCCTGACGAGTGTGTGTGTGGACCTGACGTTGGTGAAGCCATCTGGAGGCCTGGCAAGAGTACAGGGGTGAGTCTGAGACAGACTTGTTGGGTGCTTGACACTGTCTCTGCTCTCCAACAGGAAGTGCTGGACATTGCACGGGAGCTTGTGGTGGAACTGGGAACCCACAGTGACTGTGAGATTGAGGAGAGGAAATCCAAACTGGAGCAGCTGAAGAGTGTCTTGGAGATGTAAGGGTCCCTACTTCAGGGCACTGTGGGTCTGTCTCAGCACCGTGGTCAGTGGGTGGTGCATGAACCAGCTGTGCTGCAAGTGCCCTGAGCTCCAGGGTCCTCAGGGGCAGGGTCTCCTCCATCCCCTGTTAGCAGCTGCTCATGAGAGGTGCCATGCTCTGAATGTTTTCTCCTAGGCATCAAATCACTGCTGATTCTTGTTCCAAATATGTCTGTTTTTTGGCTAAACAGCTTCCTCTGCTGTGGGAGAGGAACTGGTGTCCTGTAGGGACCACATGGGTATGAATAATTTTGATAGATCTGGAACAAAACCTTGTGTTAAGTGAGGCTGTCCTGGTGCTGAAAGTTCAGCAAAATGGAGCTTGAAAACGTGACAGGATGTTTGTGTTCTCTTATGTTTTGTACAGCAGAAATAAAAGACAATAAGGTGGTGCTGGCATCTCGGAGGCCAAAGCAGGGTTTCTCCCAGAGCCACAGCTGGCTGTGGCATCCACAGGCAGTGTCTGTGGTCAGGCCCTGCCTGTGGAGCACAGAGGATGAACTTTTGCCATGAGCTTCCCCAGGTCCTTCTGCTCATTGGAGATGTGGTTATCCTCAGAGCAGCTGGCAGATTGTTGTTTTGTTTTTTTTAATTCACTTGTTAAGATGCGGATAGAAATTAACTAAGGTTGATTAAAGCCCCAGTGGGGTATGGGAGCACAGAGAGCTCTCAACTGAAGAGCAGGCAAGTAAATGTTTTTGTTTGGGGGGTTGTTTGGCTTCTTCTGGGGGCGTGTGCCAGGTCACAGGTAGATGGCAAAAAATGTCCACGTACCCTAGCAGTGGGTATTGCAGCAGGAGTTTACATTTCCCCCCTCCTTGTGACAGGTATGGACATTTTTCTGGCATTAACCGTAAGGTGCAGTTGACCTACCTGCCTCATGGACATCCAAAAGCTACAAGTGAAGATGAAGGTAATGAACCTGCTGTTGCTGCCCTGTTCTTAAAGCCTGGTGTTCCGGAGCATGTGCAGGTGTCCTAACCAGCACAGACCCTGGACGTGCAAGCAGGAGTAGTGCCCCATATCTTGTCTTTGCTCACACCTGTGAGGGGTTGGAGTGATGCATAATGTCGTGTGCCGATGTACCCTGCATGGTGCCCCAGTCTGTGCTTCCAATCTGAGGGATGTCAGCTTACACCTTCAAAAAGCAGTGACTGACTCTTAATTTTGTATGTGCTGTTTGGTTCCTGGGGATTTTGGGTCAGCCTTGAGAACGCACTGCAGGGTGCTGGTGACAACCTATTCATCCTCCCCTCCTCTCCCTTGCAAGCTCAGCTTTGAGATCTGGTGTAGTGAGTACCTGTTTGTCTCTTAGAAGCTCGTCGAGAGTCTTCCCCATCCCTTCTGCTGGTGCTGAAGTGGGGTGGGGAGCTGACACCAGCGGGGAGAGTCCAGGCAGAGGAGCTGGGCCGAGCCTTCCGCTGCATGTACCCTGGAGGCCAAGGTAGGCTTTGTCCATCTGCACCCTGTCCTGTCATTCTGCCAGGCTGCCCAGCCCAGGGGACTCATCCCCAGCGTGAGGGATGCTCCAGCATATCTGAGATCTGTGCAACCTCTGCTCAGCTCACTGGTTTTGTTCTTTGGAGTTGACCTGGTAAGGATAAATAATTCACGTGGGTTTTGCACCTGAAGATGCCTAAGCTGGCTGGAGGTGTCTGCTGCAGTGTGAAACTTCAGTATGTCTTGGAGCACGATAACATACTTCCAGTTAATGTGCCAGTATGCAAAAAAAGGGAATCCATTCCAGTGAGATGCATCCTGATGCAGCAAATGCAATTCATACTGTATGTATGATTGACAAGAAGTGTAGGTCAGATGTAGAGAACAGAGGAAATCTATCCTGGAACATAGATAATTCTCTACATAACTTTGTTACTACAAAAAAATTCCTTGCCTAGAGCAGTATATTCAGCTGTTGCAGGTGTCAGAGTTTTGAGTTGTTCTCTGTTCCAGGTGATTATGCTGGTTTCCCTGGCTGTGGTTTGCTCAGGCTGCACAGCACCTACCGGCATGACCTCAGGATCTACGCCTCAGATGAGGGACGAGTGCAGATGACAGCAGCAGCTTTTGCAAAGGTCCTTCCTCTTTTCGGCATCTGTTAGTTCTGCTACATTAGTCTTGCAATTCATCAGTTCTAAAGGTGATGAGGAAAGAGCTGTCTTGGGGGCTTCCCCCTCTGAGCTCACTGCAAGTGCACGGGCAGCAGTGGAAATGCAGCGTGGCTGCAAGTCTGTGAGACCTTTGGTATCCTGTCCAGGACAGGACTCTGACCAGAGAAGGTGTTATTCGTGGGGTTTTGCTGGTGTTTGGTGTTAGAGCACCTGCTGCTGGGTATAAATTGCCTACAAAATGAGAGTTTCTTGGATGAATGCTGAGCCAGAGGGGTTTTTCCCTGACTGCTGGTTTTAAAGGGGGAACGAAAAGTCTTTGGTGCAGTGTGGGGTGAGGGAAAAGACAGGTTCACCTGCATTTATAGCTTGGGCCAAGGCGAATCCCATGGTGACCTTAGATGTTCTTCAGAGCCTCTGCTGTATCAACCTTTTCCAGCAAACTGAGCTGGCTGCTCAACGGTTGCATAGACAAATGTGGGGCTGCTGCAGGCCTTTTGTCTCCAGCAGCTCTAGAATCATGCCAGAGCCGCTGGTGACTGCAGATACTGCTGCTGTGAAAGTGCTCTCAGGAGCAGCTGATGTGTCACTCAAGCTGGCTGAAGGCTGGCTGTGGCACTGCCAGCAAGGTTTGTTGCTTGGGTTGCACAAAACTGAAGTCTCGTCCTGTGTTGCTTTAGGGTCTGCTGGCCCTGGAAGGAGAGCTGACCCCCATTCTGGTGCAGATGGTGAAAAGTGCCAACATGAATGGTCTCCTGGACAGTGACAGTGATTCCCTGAGCAGCTGCCAGCAGAGGGTGAAGGCCAGACTGCATGAGATCATGCAGAAGGATGCCCAGTTCTGCCAAGAGGATTACGAGAAGGTAGGAGGATGTGTTCAGGGAGCACAGCCTGCCAGGTTCTAGGCCTGTGCTCTGTGCATGTGTGAACATATCTTCTGGGTACAAATCCTTTGTGGTCCCATCAGTGTCTGGTACCTGTAGGACAGGCAGCATGTGTTGCTTCCAGCACAGCAGCTGCTTCTATAGCTGCTTCTCTGACAAGTACCCAAAACACTATTTTTCCCAGACTCTGAGGTCTGATTACAGGACTGAAATCCATTACTGTTAAGGAGCAGATTTACTGCTTCAAAGAACTACTTGAAACCTGTGTGAATCCCTTCTGTTCAAGCACAGAAGCAAAGTGGGACAGCAGTGAATACTGTAGGTGGAGGGAGGTCTGATCTGACGGGGGCAGTTGTTTGCTCCCTCTGAGTTTGGTGCCCACACACCATTGGGAAGGGGCCAGCTCAGGGTGCTGGGCTGGGAGCACAGCTTCTGTGCCTCACCACAAAGCAGCACAGCTGCAGAAAGCAGGCATTTTGTGTTCCCAGGCTGTAAAGATGCTATCTAATTCTGCTGGTATCTCCTCTCAGCTAGCACCTACAGGCAGTGCTTCTCTGCTCAACTCCATGACATTTATCCAGAACCCAGTGGAGGTCTGTAACCAGGTGTTCACCCTGATTGAGAATCTCACCTCCCAGATACAAAAGCGTCTGGAAGACCCAAAATCTGCAGGTGAGCATCAGAACTGGAAAGGGTCTGGAGCAGATTCATTTATTGTTACATCTTCAAAGCTCCTAAGTACCATTGTGGTTTATGTTTATGTCTGTAGCAAAGAAATGCTGAAGTTGAATTCTGTATCTGCTGTTGATGTAGAAGGGCTTCCATTCCACTTTCAACTACTGTTAAAGGAGCTGTAATGTGAAGGAAGTGGTGTGTGCATCTTGATGTAGGGGATTGTCATCAGCAGGGGTAGGGTCTGCAAGGGGTGCCTGATTTTTTCAAGCATCTCCTGGAGAGAAGCTCAAGATTATGAACAGCAAGATTTTCAGTCACAATTTGCTCATCTCTAAGAACTTTCCTAACATCAGTGCAGAGGTTTTAAAAGGGCTCCCATGGGACATCTCACCTGATTTATGGCAGCCATAAGCCAACAGGCCAGCAGTTTCATTTTTCCCAAGTATTTCAGAAGAGGTTATTGCTGCAGGTTAAACCTCTGTGCTACGGGTCTAGTGGCATTTCCAGCATAGGATTCCTGAGGGTGACATAATAATCAGAGCCCCTCTGTGCAGGGAGAGGTCAGTCTACTTGAAGTCTACACAGAAGTAGTCAGGGTGTGACTGGTTTGGTGTTCCCTGCCACCCAGACCTGCAGCTGTACCACAGTGAGACCCTGGAGCTGATGCTGCAGCGCTGGAGCAAACTGGAGCGGGATTTCCGCATGAAGAGCGGGCGCTACGACATCAGCAAGATCCCTGACATCTACGACTGCATCAAGTATGATGTACAGCACAACTGTGCCCTGAAGCTGGAAGGCACAGCTGAGCTCTTCAAACTCTCCAAAGCCCTGGCAGATGTGATCATACCCCAGGTATAGCCTGTCCTGCCTGTGTGACCATGTCTGTGGTCTCAGTTTCTGTCTCTTGCCCTGGCTGCTTTCTCGATTCCCCAGCACATTAACCTTCAAGGCAGAGTACCACAGGTGTTTCTTGGATGTATCTCTTAGTGTTTGTGTGGGTCCAAAACCAGTTGTGACTTAAGATGTGGCAGGGCTTGCTTCCTGGATGAGGATTCTGCAGCGTCAGAACAATGGGCAGCTGAGGGAGGCTCTTCCATGTTGGCCATTGGGTGTCACAGCCCAGCTGGGAGCTGAGGGTCTGTGCTGTGCCTGCAGCCCCTTCTCCACATGCAAGGTTGTGCAGGGAAAAAG